CTCTTCCATTTTGTTTTTTTAGCCAAATACCTTTGCTTTCACCATGGTACAACAGCTCTTGTTGTGAGAGACTTTTTAACTGTTACTGGGACTTTTTGATTTTTAAAAAATTATTTTACATTTCCAGAATCAAATTTCCTTTCTTCTTTCTTTTGGGCGTTCCTCTTATTTTCCATTCTTAATTTCCCCACCGTTTTCCCTGAGAAACAGGGCGGGCAGAAAAAGAAAAAACAATCATTTGAATAGGGCTCCTGGGAAAAGTTTGGTAGGTTTTTTTGTTTTTCATTCCATTTGGGGATTTCTGTGGGATGTAACAAGCCATTTTAGCTGTGTCTGGGCACAGTGTGCAGAGTAATGTGAGTGCAATGTACGTACTACATGCAAGGCACTGACTTCCTCCAGGTTAGCAAGAAAGGGAGATTATTCATTGCTACCAGTTCTGCATCACTTCAGCAAAAAAAGTTTAATAGGAAGATATCAACTCATTAAATGATCTAATAAATTCCTGTTACTGTCATGGGGCAGATTCTCCCCATTTTACATTGTTAATTCGCTAGGCTGCAATCTGCAGGGTCTAACACGAGTCCAGAGCCTTTTTTGAAACGGAAGGGGAGGAAGATATGCCAGCAGGAAAACTTAACCCGTGACTGTGGTGCGAATTTTGAGTACCCTGCTAGACGCCATCCGTGGTTTATACTGCAGGACTCTCTCCTGTTTGTGCCTTGTACGAATGTTCTCAGGTTTGGAGGCTGCACTTGAAGGCAAAAGGCAAAAAAAGGATGGGTATTTTTTACGCAAAGCAATATATGAACATCAACAGAGGCACCTTAAGAGAAGCTGTTTTAGGCAAGCGGAGACGTTTTCAAAGTTCGAAGCACAGTGGGTGAGTCTTTCTCTGGGTTTGCTTTGCAGTTTCAAGCCCTATGAATAACATTTTGAGTTTCTGCTTCATTCAAAGCTGATACTCAGAGAGAGAGCAGGACTGAGAGGAAAATAATGCAATTGACTCACGCATCTCATGCAATATGCACAGGCTAGGCTTCACAAAAGACGCCTTGAAAATTTCTTTATTAAATATAAAACCCAGCCCGGAGCAGGAAAAGTGTTCTGCTTCAGAGGTATCAGCATCATTTTGCAGTTTAGGGTTCACTGACAGATTTGTGGGTCCCAAAGCTAATTCAGAAGGCAACTGGTTACTACAGAGCTTAATCAGGAATCTGTGAGAGAGAAGGTAAACTTAGCTCCTGGTATCTGTAGAGCAAGAGTCTTAGGAGGAAAACCAAAATCAGACAATTTATGATGGTTCTCCACTTTTTTAAAGCCATCTCACAGACAATACTGGCTGCATAATTTCCAGCTGTGACTGTACCCTCACTTGGATATATAAAGTTTTCTGCAGCCTGTAACTTCTGTTCCAGCCTACTTGAATTCATTACCATCCATTATACAAATGCTTCTTTGCATGACTACAGACTCCTTTGACCAAAGGCACCATTTTGAAAAGGTGTATCTAAGCATTATCAGGACTTGGAAAAGCATCTCTTTTTAAATGCCTTTAACATTTTTGATGCTGCTCATTTTTAAGCAAGTCATAATAATCTATTGTTTGAAAGTTAAACTAAAGGAAATAACCTCTTAAAAGAAAAGAAAAGCCTTCACCCTTCACTGTCAGCCTCACTGACATCTACAGTTACTTTAATATAAACCATTTTGTGGTTGGGCCCTTTGTGTAAAACTGATTTTAAATTGCACAAGTGATCTTGTGCAATAGAAACGGTCCCAAACCACAGCATTTGTAACAAGGCTGGCAATCAGAAGCTCTCTGCTCTTTCCAAAAGTGGGCTGTAGTTTTGCACAAAGGTCTGTGCAACAGATTCAATTTGCAATGGATGTATTTTCTAAACTAGCTCTGCTACAGAAGGGGTCTCCCAACTGGCTTTTGAAGTAACTGCAAATGGGCCGCTCTTATTGCAATAGTCGCAACCTCCGAAGCAGAGTTGTAAGCCTTGCTGTCCCGTAGCGCTGGAGCTTAGAGGACATATTTCCCTCCTACCCCAACACCCTGTCACCTGAATTTGAAAATGAGAGACTTTTCAGCACGTGTACGTTAGCAGCTAGGTACAGCTCTGATCCTCCCCCAAAGCCGGACTTGAACGCCACTGATGCCGAAACTCACAAACGCACCTACAAAAAACAGCCACCTTGGGAGAGCCTAGGAATGGGCTTAAACATAAGCCCAGCCTTTCCGGACACTGAGCTCAACAAGGCAGGGTTGCAGCTGGGTCACCAGCCCCAGGGGCTCCACCAGGCTTGGTAGAGTCTTCTTCAGAGTAGTCTGGATGCTTTGTGGCTTTAGGCCCCCACATTTTTCACCCTGAGATAGTCCAAAAGGAGCTGGACTTCTAAGAGCACAGCTCAGTTGCCTTTGAAAACCAGCTGCACCGCAGTGCCTTACACATCGAAACTGAATCACTTACACCACAAATCCAGCTCAGAAAGTGATATTGCAGTTCCTCGTGTGCTCCCCTGCAATAAATGCTGCACCTCACATCTATGCTTAAGGGGAAAAGGGCTTTTTTCCAGCTGACTCCGATTTCCACTGATATCAGTTTGGTGGACAGGGATATCTGTCCCCATTCATTGAGAGATGCTCTGGCGCACAAATTTTGGAAGAACCCAGAACCTGAGAGCAACCCATTATTGACCCAGTCTAGTGCAGGTCATCTTTAAAACCCTAAGGGCATATGTAAAATAAGCTCGTGTTCTCAGTCCAAAAGCTAATGGAACAGCTGATATAAAACCTGTCATGATCACAGGCACTATGACTGAATGGACATGAAAACAGAACTGCTTACCATTTCCCTCCACAAAGCTCACTGTGGCAAGGACTTTAACGCCATGGCAGGAGTAGCTACAGAAACTCACAGTGCCATTGTGCTATGTCATTCTTACAGATAAATAGAAGACTTGAGCTGACAGACCCCTTGGCCTGGCAGTGTCTGCAGGCTCCAGAACACCCCTTGAAACTGCATTGTCCTCATAACCCAAATCCTGTTTGGTCAGAACCACTCTGCGGCTGACAGAAGGTTAAAAGATATGAGGGAGAGAAGAGTTAGTAAAAGATAGTAGCAAAAAAACTAGTGGGAATTCAAAGTTACTCCTGGACAAAGAGAATTTTCCATTAGAGCCCAAATTCAAAGCATAGAGCTTAGAGAAACACAGGCGTATTAATGAGCATGCAGCTTAAAGGATCATTTCCTAATTGCTCATCTCCTCCATCTACCGCATTGCTGAGTGATAGGTATGAACTCCTGAGAAGAGAAGATCTTAATAAGTTCAGAAAACAGTCAGGATTCAAACAGTTGGTTTTTTGTTTGGGGGCATTTCTATCAAAATGAGATGGAAGAGTATGGAAGTGACTTTCTAATATTGCATGCCATTTTCAGTTATTTCTGAGGGCCACTTGATGACTCAGAAACAGCCTGATCTTGAGCTGCTTAATCCATGGCTTACCCCATTAATAATCTCCTATGACAGGGTCCTTTTTTTTTCTTTTTTTTTCCAAGAAAAAAAATTCTACCTCCATTTATGTTGCTACCAAATTCACTGGGGAGTTGCTGCTCATTTACCTTGGCGGGCTGGCAGCCTTCCCCCAAAACATGCCAGCCTGAGTAGCTGCCATTTTAAGCAGCTTCTAATTTGCTGCAGCAAGCTGTTAGTGCCTGCTGGCAGCTACAGTATCCTTGTACCTTCACAGCCATCACGCTTGCCATCTGTCATCAGGGTTAGACCACAGTGGCAGCTGCTTCATCAGGCCAAGCCCAAAACTCTGGATATAACTATTTACACTCCAGGGGTTACCCTTGCTTTACACCCACCTAAGTAAGCCAAAAGCCAGATCCCAAGGCTACAACTTGTAGGGGAAATCCTTGGATTAAACTGAGCTCCAGGGCAGTGCTCACGAAAGGTGATGAGGATAAAAGTGGCTAAAGACTGTGTTGTGTTCTCTCATTTCTGAAACTGCAGAATTTGGAGCATCTCCAGGGCTGTGCAAAGCCCCAGCTGCTGCCACAGCCCCAGAGGACCTCTGACTGGCACAGGATTAGCAAGTGTGGCATATGTGGCCATGCTCTCTATTCCCTTCCGACACATCCCCTTCCTTGGGAAGGAGTGGGAAAAACTCTGCCAGCTGGGAGTCAGTGCATGCAAGAGTTAGTGTATTAGTGTTAGAGCATTTCAGTTGGAATTTGGGAGAATTCCAATTTATATATTGGTATGTAATATGAGAAAAGTTTTTATGGAAAGGATACGTACCCCTTATACCCAGTGAAGATCTAAGGCTGTTACCGTAGCAGAGCATTCCCACTGATATCAAGGAGACCTCAAAGAGCAGACCAGCAGCAGAACCAAAAAAGACTTCTAAAAGGCCAAATCCGCCATCATTTTGTCACTCCAAGGAGGAAGAAAGCAGTGTTCAGGAAGCTCAGCTTTTTATTTTGCCAACAAACCATGCTGCTGACTGTACGAGACATTGGGGAAAATCGGTTAAGCGCAAGAGGCAGCATTGCTAGTGAGAGCTGCAGACCTACTGAGGAGCCCATCGGGAGATGCTGGGGTTTTTTTCCCTGCTCATGCGAAAAATTAGACGTCTTGCAGACTTTAGTTAGGAAGAGAGCACAGAGAGGGAGTCAGGTGTGCCTTTAGAAAAGCTAAGTCCATTTACAGAGAAGTGGCAAAGGCTTCCTTTCCCACACACAGCTGAACCAAGAAGGAAGGTCTTTCACCCACGATGCTCTTTCCTACTCTTGGACACTCTGACGTGCTTGATCGTGCTTAGTCTGGTGCTTCTTTGCAGGCTTGTTCTCACATCACTGAAGGTTTTGTGCTCTTTCTCAGAGCCACAGACCAACATCTAGCTAACAGCATTAGCAACAGGTAACACCTTTCTGTGTACGTGTGCTTTACACATCTCTCTGTTTTGAATGGTGACATGGACGCAGAGGGAGCAGCTGTTACGCTAGGGATTCGTTCCACAAATAGCTTGGCTTTTTTGCAACAGCGCCTTGACTAAGTGGTATAAATTACATGCCTCTCCCACTGTTTCCATGTGCTTTAGCCCAAACAATAGATTATGTTTTTGATTGGAGTGCTCAGTCATTCTACCCCAGGGATCCAATTCAGTTAGTGCTAATAGCTCATGGTCTGAATTACCCACTTCTCCCTCTCATAAAGACAATGATGTCCACCTTAAACCATGGTACAGTAGGCCGAAGTCATAATTCAAGCTTCAAAATCTTTGATCCACAACAAAGTTCTTACTGGTTTTAATGCGTCCCATGTATATGTGGCGCTACAGGGAGGCAGACGGAAGGTTTGTCGGTAAATACATGAGCTAGAGTTTCTTATCAAAGCGGGGAGACCCTAAAAAGGATTAGTCTGCCTACGAGAGTAACTAGCAGGAAGACTGGCCCGCATGCTAAATAGCCTGGAATAATGTGTCAATCATGACAGAGAGTTTATTATTGTCATACCTTCTTTGCATTCAGATCTGCGTGACTTCTGAAAAGGAACACGATGGCTTCATCAAAGTGTACAGCGGGAAGAAGAAAGGCTTTGTCCCCATAGATGTCTTAGAAAACATCTGATTTCAACAGCCCGCTCGCTGCAGTAGGAGCCCTTTGTTGGCAATGCCTGTCTGCCTCATCTCACACTGTGTCAACCCAGATGGGCTGTCTTGCAGATGTTCAGGGAAGAGCGAGAAAACTGCAACTACAAGAAGAAAAAGACATTTAGACTGTCACAGCAACACTAAGGTATACGAAAAGTGGATTGATTGAAAGAAAACATAGTCAGAAACCACTGGGGAAATGAGAGGCCCTTGAAAACTAATAGGAATAAGGTAAGGGGGAAAAAAGTCTGGTCTGGTTTCTGGTGCAAGATGACTATTATGACCCTGATGGAGACAGACAGCTGTTCTGAAGGACTAAACTCATGTCCTGTTCTCGTGTCTTAGAAAACTGTTGGACTGCTTTCCTGTTTGATACTGTTCAAACTGTCTTTGTACTACAGTCCAATGCTTGTAGTAAAGTGTTGCTGTGGTCCTACAGTTTTGTCCCCGGTATCAGTCGATCAGCCGAAGCGTTTAATCCTGGTGTTTAGTCTCATCACACAGCAGTTTGAAGATGCCGTGTTCCTGTCAGTCTGTGGAGCACGCTGTGCCCTGGCAGTCGGCAGCTTTCTCTTTCTGTGTCATCCTACCACACAGAAGAGCAGCAACCGTCTGTGTCCTCTGTTTTCTCTGTATACGAACAAAAGGTCTCCGCATATGTTGGGCGTGATGGCTGCTCACAGAAACAGCCGTCTTCCTACTCAGAAGCCTTGCCTGGACGCGTCCTGTTGTGTTCCCTGTTCCTTTATCTGGTGACAGAGGAAATGGGAGAAATGGCTTGTGAGAGCCACAGGCTTGAAATGTTTTCTATTTTTCTGTGTTTATTGCACTTAAAAGATTTTATATATTGATCCTATTTATAGAAAAAACAGATGGTTAACTAACCCCCACCCCGAAGACCAAAAGCGCTAGGAAAGGACAGACTATATATAGAAGCGAAGTCTGTAATTACCGAAATCCAGAATTTGTGACTGAAAGGCACTGGGTGTCTTAGCATTGTGTTGACACACCAAAGTCTTTTTCTTCATTTGCTAAACAGAAGTTTTGCAGTTTTAGTAGTAAATATGCTGATTTGAGTCAGTCCTCGTTGGCTTATATCCCCACGAGCCTCCCCTCAGTCCCATTGAGACTGCACAGGGAGGTTTGTCTTGTCGATGGTTTGTCCTATGCAGTCCTCCACCTTCAAGTGTATTTTGGGCACACAAACCTTGTGGTACCTGGAGAGCAGCCCATGGGATCTGTGGAGCTTGACCAATGTACAAAGGTCAACCAGCGCCAATCCCATTGTAGGGCAGGGGCCTTATGGTGTTTAATGACAAGGAACCTAATTGCCAAGTATTTGATTGGATGTAATTGGACCAAATACACTTAAGCAGCTTATCATGTATTATGACATGGAGTTTAAGTCCTATCCCAGAACTCCCTGATGAATTCATGCCTTATTTGACCAGCTCAAGACCAAATCCCAGTCTTTAACACTACTGGAGATGGCCTCAAATTGATGTCCTAAATCCCCATGCTACAAGAAGAAATTCAGATGCTGCCAAGTTAGTAGAGGCCTTTGCAAGATATACACTATTTCTAAAAAAATGCTTTCATTTTTATATCATATTTTGAGGCAGTTTGAATCTGTGTTGCACAGCCCAGGTCCCATAGATGGGTTGCCATATTTGAATAGCTGATCTTGTGCAAAGCCTTAAGAAAGCCAGTGCAGTTCTGTACACAGTCAGAGGCTGACATAGCAGATCAATTTGCAAGCTCTCAGAGACACACTTTGTGGCTCTTATATATCACTTAATTGCAGAAGAGGAAGTTGAAGGGGTGTCAGCTACTGAAACTTGGTGAAAGTTGGTTCTCAATAACGAATGTGATCTGTACCAATCATTAACGTCCTCCTGGCTGATCAAAAGCATCTGATTTCATATCTTCATCTATGGGAATATCAGCAATTTAAAAATGGCTTTTCTTTTCCAATGCAAACAATAAACTTTTGTTCAGCTCATTTTCCTGAGTAGTCAGTAAACTCAGTGGGAGGACAGAGGATTCTGATAGGCCTTAATCATCAAGAGGAAAAGCAGCAAAGACATGTTAACCCACCCTGCTTTATAAGATTTTTTATATATATATTCACCAGTTCACAGAAAAAATTCAAGTGTGTGTTAGAACTAAAACGTTTGCTATTTTTGATCAGGCCTGTCAGGCCTTTCCTGTGGGCAAAGGAAATCTATATTACTCTATACATATGTGCTACTGTTTACATGATTGCATCATACTGTGATTCCCTCCTATTTCAGTCTTCATGATTTCAATTTATCCCTGCAATGTGCATCATACTATTCAAAGAATGATATGAATATTACCTACAACTCACAATGGCCTTTAATCAATGTCTGTTTGATTCCTTTTGATACTGAGCAATAAATAATAAAGTGATTGAGAAAAAACAAAACAAACCCTAGTGGATTGTGTTACATCTGAGAAAGCATTGCTTCTGAATCAAAGCTTTCGTGGTACTTTTTCCCTACTGTTTTTGGTTTAGTCTTTTTTCCTGGGTTTTTGCAGTTGTTTGATATGGGAACATAATTTATACCTAATGTAACAAGAATCACATACATGACATTAACTTTAAGCATATGATAGATTGGCTATTTGTATACTTAAAGATGAAGTACTTTGCTTATGGTCATTTTCTGCCAATCAATTTTGGATGCCTTACTCTGAAACCAGATGAATATCCCATCATTTTTTCCTACCATATGCCGTTCACAAGAGAGATTGCATTAACAAGCAGATAAAAACCAGAGAGAAGACGGACTGGATTCTGTCTGACGTTTGCTCAGAAAAATTGAATTTCAGGAGATAAATGATGTTCACATTTAATTTAATATTCTGCTTAATAAAGAGTAAGCAAAGGTTGGAAGGAGAATAGAAGTGTATGTTTCTTGACTTCTTTGCATTGGACATCGTATCATTTTCAGTTAGCCACCTTCAAAGCATTTGCTAGAACCATCAGCAGTAGATGTTATTGAACACATCCATTTAAAACCTACAGCACTTGCTTTTTCTGTCCGTAGCGAAACATTTCTAAAATAGTTCTTCTGCAGCGTTATGTAGCATGTGTGAAATTGGAGCCGAGTTTCGTGGTGAAGCCATCCTAAACATTTGTTTCCAGCAAATCAGAATGTATTCTAAGCCTTTCTATTTGTTGTTTCAACATCTCCTTGCAGCAAAAGACTGGCTATAGAACACATTCATAAGTGTTAAGTAGAGTTGATCAACATGAGTTGAGGATGAGCTGCCTGAATCCTGATTTATTCCCATCCATAAATAACACAGTATCTCAGTGTATAAGCATAACATCTTTTCCTACACCCAGTCATTTTGCCTCTGTGTCTCCCTTCAGGGACTGATGCTGCAGTGCACAGTTAGCCTGTGGACTCATTGCCACAGCGGAGCGAAGACACTTCTTCCTACAAACATTATGTATCTTCAGCATTACTTACAGGCCTTTTTCTTGGTAATTATTGGTTGAGATTCAATGACTAAACAGAACACCTAGTGCCATTTTAAACAGCCTAGGACACTGGAGGCATCACAGTACAGGGCTGGCAGGCAATGATGCTGGAGGTATGGAAGACCTGTGACCTTCTGAAGAAGCCGCTGGAGACCTTGTAGATTGTCTAAAATGACGCTAGACAGGTATCTTCAGAAAATGAACCCAGCTCATTTTCTTTAAATATATGCAGATGTCTCATTTATTGAGCACTCATATTACATCTTTCTTTCCCGAAAGGCCACTGTATAATTGCAGCTAACCATTATCAATCCTGACTCATGTGATCTCCACATTTCCCTAAAGGCCACTGGATAATTGCAGCTAACCATTATCAATCCTGACTCATGTGATCTCCACAGAAAGAATCCTGGAATGAAACAGGGACCGAGTTCATCTATAATATTGGAAAAGGCTATTCAATGTTATGTTCTTCCAAAAATCCATGATGTAATTTATCTGAGCTAACTGTAAATGTGTAGAATGAAGCCAGTAACCTTATTTCCCTCCCTGCCCTTTCCCAGCAAATAGAGAGAAATGTGCACTTCATTGCAGTGGTTCATCCGACTTATTAAAGACTTCTGCTTAAGCACAAGCTACATCATGCCCGATTAGTGCCTTTTCCATCCATCACCAATCACAGGAGCCTTGGACAACTGGATCAGATTTAGACCTCAGCAGAGGTCTCTGCTATATCAGGGCAGAGGAATTCCCAGCCTTATTTTCTGGATAAATGTGTAACACGTACATTTGACTACCATGTGTCTGTTTGTGTCTCTGAATTTTCTGATGGTGTTTACTCTTAGAGACAAGGAGAGAGGTGTATTTTTCTTTCCTGTTTTCATTTTATAGAATTTTTTTTACTGTCTGGTGGACAAGGGTGGCTCCCTAAATAAAATATTTTGCAATTAAATACAAATATAACTGTAATACAAAATCAAATCAATCCTATTAAGGACATTTTAATTTAAAATACTGATCATGAAGAGTACTAGCATGGCTCTGTCCCTGCTTGCAGTAATACTGACTGTCCATAAGTTCTGATAGCAATGAAAGCACGTACTTACCACATGTCTTGAGAGGTAGATTTTTGTGCAGTTCATTTTCTTTCAATATTTCAGTGTTTTTGCTGGGAAACATTCTGAGATGTTGTGAACCACCAGACTGAATAGCATCAACCTGGACAATCAAACCAGGGTGGGTGTTCCTGTGCTCCTTCATAGATTAAAAAAAAAGCAAAATACAGCTATACAGTTTTCTATTCACTGGTGATATGCTTATCAAATAGTTTGTACAGCCCTGAAAATACGCACAAAAGAAAGTGAACGAATACAAAGCATGTCAGGTTCTGTTTGAAATATAAAGAAGGAGGATGTGAATCATATTCCCATACATACTCCTTCCGTACTTTGCTCTATCACAAACAGGGTCAGACCAACAGAAGTGTTTCATTTCATGTTTCAGACATTTCAGATAGATGTAGTCCCAAATCATCATCCAGACTGTATGCACTGCATTTTGTAAAGCATGGAGAATAAATATTTTCCTCAGTGGGGATATATGTCATCACAACGTTAAGTTTTCCACAGCAAAAAAGAGCAGCTGAATCTAAGAGGTACACAAATGTTATTTTTAAAGCCATTCTTTATATAGAAAATTGTCATATGCCTGGGGAATGAATACTTGGCAGGGTCTCCACAAAAGAGGCCCAGAAAAGCTATAGTGGGGCTGCTTCAGGTCAAGTTGTAAATACATTTCCTGAGTGGCTTAAGGAAGTCCATTCAACACCTACCTAAATTAATGATGTGATTTGT